GAAAATACCTGACAAAACTGTAAAAGTCTAGAGTTACGCCGTTACAGCTTCATGCCAACAACAATACGGATACGGCTCTAAAGTAAATGTAAACAAGTTAATTTTAGACAGTCGACGCGTCTCTGTCCTCTCCTCACGGATACCATCGATCTATATAGAGTACGTAGGTATCCATCCTGTTTGATGCGCTGCACCGTGAATCTGTGATCTCATTACAACGGATGAAAAACACGTGCTCATTTTTGGCAAGAACTCAAACCGATGTGAAGAGTGGGGGTACTGATCATTTCTAAAGAAGCAAGGACATTTATTTCTGCATAGCTATTTGGACGAGAATACACTTGTCGTTTATGTGGCACGGCTGAGTTCAGAAATTGACCTGCGGAACCCGCGCCGGTGGCTGGCATTCATTAGCTAAACTGTTTGGTGACCTTCGGATCCCCTTGAACTTCCTGCGTTGTTTACTACCTTATATTTACGGGGACTGAGTACTCTGAACGTCCGTTAACGAAGATTCGAACAATTGCATTCGGCTTTTACATTCCTCTTCTCTTTACATCCTTTAAACATTTACTTGCTGAATATTATTAAGAACACGAGTCCTCGGCCGTCAAAGCTCTGAATGCATAAAAGGGAACCATTTTTTATAAAACATTAAATTTCAGCGGAATTCTTTCTTTATTTCCGATCATTTATTATTGTTATCTGATGAATACCTACTTTCGGAGATAAACATTGAAACTCCTCGGTGACAAACAATAGCTATACATATTTTGTTTGGTTGTGATAAAAAGTATTTTAAGATCTCTCTTAAAATACTTGTATACTTGTGTGCACTTGTAAAGCTGACTAAGTGGACCTGACTTACAGTCTCCTGTTGGTCAGGTCCACTTAGTCAGCTGATCACTGATGTATCTTAAGATTTAAGTAAATGATAAGTATTATATTTAATTTATATTGTCATTAAATCTAAAGAAAAGTTTACTAGAAAAAAAAATCCACGCGGACCAGGCAGCGGACGGGACGGTCCCGTCCGCTGCCTGGTCCGCGTGGATTTTTTTCTAGTAAACTTTTCTTTAGATTTAAACATCTAGCAGTTAAATGCTTAAAAAATAAATAAAATCATAACTATATTGTCATTGTTTTAATGAAGACGATTTTTATTTTGTTAAAACAGTTTTCGTGGTAATCCTGTTGATTGTACATAACACGAACACTAATGGCTTACCGGCACGAAACATTAAAATACCAGACACGCGAATGTCGTCTTAAATGCCAAATAATATTCGCCTTAGAAATTTTTGAAAGGTTAGAATTTTCATAACAAGTCACGTCAATACATAGATTAATTGCGGGATTGTCAGAGCATCGAAAATGAACCGTGAAACTGACTTTAAAAGAAAAATATCAATAAAATGTAGTCTCATCAACACTCCTAGAGTTTGCCACACTTAGTTAAAATAGAAATAGTACGCAAGTTTCTAGCTTTACTTGACTTGAAGCTTCAAACTATCTGGATCCTCGATCCTTCCTTATCGAATATATCGAACCTGAACGAGTGTTAGAGACAAATAGTTGACTGGTAGAGAATTCCTATGCCATTAAGTCCGCCGTTTGTAAATGTATGGCAATGAAGTTTAAAAAAAATAGGTAGCTTTCAAATAGCGTCATGCTATATTACTACGGTCGGTACTTTCCACATCGACAGTGTAAAGGCAAAATCACAAACGCCACTTAGGCCGAAAATGAGTTATTTTATCAATTTAATCAGATTTTATTCTGCGTCGATCTGTATTTAGTGAAGATTTTTTATTGTTCACAACGCTGAAGCAACATCAATTTTAGTGTTTTTTGAACCAATGGCGCTTACGCCAACAAAAAATGTATGGTGGGCGGGCCGTGTGATTTTCGCTTAAGCGACATCTAATTCGTAAAGTAAAGACACAATGTAACTTTTTAATAGGAGGATATTTAGAAAATATTATTTTGTGTATGTTTTTTTAAGGCGCTACTTCTCATTTACAATGACTTATGGTTTTTTTGTGAAAAAAAGAACTTTGATCCTCGTTTCTGTACAGTTACTAAAGTGGCGTTTAAGCGATTTTGCTTTTCCACTGTCGATATGGTCTCAAAATTGATGTCTTTTCCCCTTCTTAGGCAAAAGTAACAAATTGGAAAAGCTACTGGGAAAAATAAGCTTTGGGGGTCAAATACTTTTTGGTAAATGTTTGGGAAAAGGCACCACTGAAATCGAGTGCGTAATCCAATTCAATTATGCCAACTTATCAAAAATCCTTTGCGTTGTTATAATTATGTCGGTTTCGCAATTGAAAAAAAATCAGCTTCCTATTATAAATCCGAAATCAATCTAGCACCCTACTCTATCCGAACAAATGAAGTGACCATTATGCTTCAGATATTTGTTGTGTAATTTTATCACCTCTTTTAAATAACAACCCTTTTTGATTTTCTAAAAAACCTAAGAAGACGATTAAAGGACAATGTTAAAATTGGCCTAAGAACCAACACCAATTTGGCATTTATGATAATTCTTAGTATATTTTTTGCGATAATTATCGGTATATTAAACTACTCTTTGGAATGCACGAATGCCACAGATTACTACGAATGCAAACTGCATGCACCACAACCACAGAGTAACAAGTTTTATGCCGGCTCTTCACTTGACAACAGTTTGTCCTTGTCATGCTTAATAAGAAATGAAAAGGACAGACTGATGTCATGTTTTAAATTAGCAAATACGAATAGCCAAGTGAAGTGCCGGCATTAGGAAGAAAGAGTGTTTTGTTTGCAGCGCTGCCATAGATTATACACATAAAATGGTATTTATTGTCTCAGATTATTTTTTAACTTTTTAATTTAGCTTACTTAACTGGAAGTGTCCGTCAATAATCTTTGTTTTTACAGTCATTTACTTACGATTTTGAACCTAGAAAATAATATTTCATGATTGTTGGTTCTTAGGCTAACTATATATGGACGCTGAACAATGTCCTTTGCTTCTCTCTTCACCCAACTTTATTGTATAGTTACAAAATTTTATGAGTACAGGTAATTCAATTTATCTGTACTCATAAAATTTTAAAATTAGTTTTTAAGTAAATGAAATACACACATCAAGTGTCTAGGGATCAACATATATTTTTGCAATAACTTTTCTCCTGATTGATATTAATTAAAATTTTCTTTAAGGATTCATCAAATAAAGTGTTTTCGTTTGTCACAGTAACGATAAACCAAGTCACCTTTGCATTAATAAAGAAATTTGCCATTTTCCTAATAAAGGGATTTTTGACATTTGAACCACTAACACAAAAGTTGGAAAAAAAGACTGAAATAACAGTTTTCTCTAAAATTTTATTGGGTAACTTAAACAATTAATAATCCGTATTTCTACCGCGAACACTAACAACACAAGAACATCGGTTTGGCATACTCAAAATGAGTTCATCCAAATCACGCTGTGGAATGGCCGCCCATGTTCGTTGCAACAACAAAAAAAGGTCTTCTTGCGACTGGATACCCTCCATATTCGGCAGAGCTCTTCTCTGTAGCATATCCCATGCATGCTCAATCGGGTTCAAGTCTGGCGACTGAGCAGGCCAGGGCAGGACATTGATGTTAGCTGCGGCGAGAGTCTGTCTTACAACTCTTGCGGTGTGCGGTCGTGCATTATCATGCATTAACTGAAATAAGGGACCGATTTGCACTTGTAGAGGAACGATGACGTCTGATACAATCGTCTCAGCATAAATTTGAGCGTTGAGGTTGCCTCTGATCCAAATCAACTCAGTTCTTCCGCCGATCCAAATACCCGCCCATACCATGATGGTTCCACCACTATAAGGATGGACTTCCTGGCAGGATTTTAATCGCTGTTGGCGTCCAGGGGTTCTCCAGTGTCGTATACGTCTTGTATCCGGTCTCATACCAAAACGAGACTCATCAGAAAAGCACACGAAACGCCATTGTTCTTCTGCCCAATTTCTGTGTTCAAGAGCCCATTGATATCGAATCCTACGATTGTGCATTGCTATAGGTGGTACCCGTAGCGGTCTTCGGGAATGAAGGTTCACTTCATGCAAGCGGTTTCTGACTGTTTGGTCGCTAATTAAGTTCCCTGAAGAGTGATGAAGCCTCACGGCTAACATCATGGCGGTTATTGTTGGAGCTCTTCGAGTTAAGATTTGAATGTATCGGTCTTGTCTCCGTGTGGTGCAGCGATACCGTCCTCCATGGCGCTCAGCCACGGTACCAGTGCTTCGGTATCGTGTCCAAAGTCGACTGATAACACTCTGACTTGTATTCAGAGCTAAAGCCACAGTACGTTGCCGGGAACCAGCTTCTATCATTCCCACGGCTCTGAGCATTTCTTCCCTGCTTAAATGACGTCGCCGCTCCATAATAACGTTGGTTTTAATCAGTAGTAGGGAAACAGTAGCACTAATAATGTCTTCAATGCGTTGTATGTTTTTATAGGGAAAATATTGACAGCTGATTTTCATCTTTTACTCGAATTTGATTCACAGTTCCTGATTCAAATTATGAAATGCACCAAAAAGGATCCATATAAATTTATAAAATCATAAATTTATTACAAAGCCACATCTCAATCTCAAGAAATCCGCATAAAAATGCTTGATCCCTAGACACTTTTGATGTGTGTAGTATTTTTTAGTAAAAATATAATTTGATCTTGATAAATTACTAATTCAATAATACATAACCCTGATTCTACCAACAATTTTTCTATCACATTAACATAGGCGTATTCATTTTGTCTAGCTTAAAAGTTAGTCTTGTCTAATTTTGTCTCATAATGTTGTATCGTCCTAAACCAATTCAAACTTGAACTATTTATTATAAGGGGACTGTGAACTTTCACCTTGTTTGTACCCAGGCAACTGATAGACCTATGTATCTTGCTTAATTTAATTAATGCCTCAATTTAATTAATAAATAAAAGTACTGTTTCTCACCAGTTTTACTGGCATCCTTGATGAGGTCGGAGATAAGGTCGTCGCTCACTTCGATGCCAAGATTCCGCAACATGAACTGCAACTCCTCGGGGGTCACGTGACCATCACTGTCCCGGTCAAGAAGGCCGAACGCTGTGCGTAGATCTACGACAAATACGAGTGCGAATATTAGAACACAATCATTGTAATTATTCGTTAGACAAGTTAGTGGTATTACTTTAAGGAACGGAAGGTGTAAAAGAAAATAATGTTACAATATAGGGTGCTATGTAAATAGAAATGAAGAAAACTTTAAGTGTATTAGAATTAAAATATTATGTTTCAAAATTACTTGCTCTGTTAACTCTCAGAACTACAAAACTTCTGACTGATGTTGTTATATAAGTAACATGTTTAAACTGAAATCAGTTTGATTTCTTTTTAAGTCCGAAGATCAATTTAACAAAGCTCTTCATAAACCATGTTCATTTATACTGTATGTTTTTAATATATAAGTACTATTTAAGTTATATATTAGTTGTAGTTAAATATGTGGCACAATTATTAGAATAAATTCCAACTATCTAATGTTTTATGCCTACGTACTCATTTAACGTTTTTTTAAATTTTACTCACAAAAATTATTGTCTTTAATAGTAGCCATTAATTATTTCATTGAACTGTATGCTAAATTTATACACTTATCATTTTTATTTGAGTTCAGGACGTATGTTATCTTCCTCTTAAACTGTTTTAGTGACAATGTGAGCTCGTCTTGAACTAGGCACCATATAACCATGACAATATTGACAAAAAGATTACGTACCATCATCATACCTTTCTTATCATGCACTTAGTTTATGTTAAACATCAACGGCGTGACACAGGGATATTTTAATAATACATAAAAACAAAATATTTTAAAATTATTACATAATTATTAATTTTAAAAATAAATAATATGAGTGACGCATAATTACAAACAACTAAACTGCTTCCGAAATAATTTATTAAATATATTTTCAGTTAGAGGGTTTTTTTGTTATAAATCAATCGTCTTTACAAAACCGCAAAAAAATCCTATTTATTTACTCATATCGAAATTGGTTTAATATCTTGTTTTTATACCATGGAAAATTAACTGTAAATAACACACGGTTACACGTGGTTACATTTAAAGCGCTTGTAAATTTTTGGATGTGGTTATCTATAATAATAGAGATGACGATTTCTTTTCTTCGTCAATCAGGTAGATTATCAAAAAGTACTGGACGCTTTTTATTTATTTATTCTCACATTCGAAACATTACAGAGATATGTTGATTTGAAATGTCGCATGACATCCCGTTTTGGTACGATTTTTTCTTAAAAGTTACGTCACGATCCCCCACTCCTAAATTTCGACGCGCTTTATCATTGTCATTTTTTGGTTGATGGACCAAAGAAAAAATACGTGTCCAATATTTTTTGATAATCTAAGTAACTGACGAAATAGAATTTCGTTTACCCCTATTATCAAATTCATTATTTCTGTTTATTCCCCATTTTTTGTATTTTTGCAACCATTTTCTAGATACATACGTAATACATAAAAGATACATAATAAATAAGGAAATAAAACATTTTACCACAGAAATTTTTAAATTAATTTCAACATTAAACCAGTTAATAACTATATAATTTGGACAACCACATATCCCTTCAACATATTTAAAAAAAAGTAAGTAAATTATTTAAAAAAAAAGGTCGTTTATTCTATGAGTATTACTACAACGATTTAGTTTTTTTATTATATTTTTAGCCACAGCCACGCGTTTCAGAATAAAGTAATGGTGGTGTATAATATTCAATAAGAATACACTAATTTAAATTTCAACGACAATTCCTGTATCAGTTTGGAGACTTCTAATATCTTAACGACTCGTAATTAGAGCTGCTGTTGGAACTATCAATCATAATAAATGTTAAGTTTTTTTGTACACCACTTTGTAAGATGAACACAACATTAATGAACGCCAACTAATTGCTCCAATAGTTCACTGACCGTCAATGTTTACTGTATCATACTTCGACAGATACAAAAAAGCATTATAGAAACTATATTTATCCTCAGATGCTCGGTTGCACTTGAACACTTTTTAAGAATCATAATTAATAAAAGAAAATATTTATCTCTAAACCTAACAGAAAATGTTATTTCATAAAGAACTTTACAACGCAAGTATAACCTTTTCGGTTACAAAATAAAAATGTTTTTTTTAATTTAAAGAAAATTTTAGTAGAAATAATCTGCTCAGTCCAGGCACTTGTAATTAGAGCTAAAAGATTTTTATTATTTATTTTATTCATAAAAATTTAGTAAGATCGACTATGTAATGCACACCAATATTAATTTCTCATTAAATATAAAAATAACTAATTCCTTTTGATTAGTAAACGTATAAAATTCAATGTCCGTTTAGCATCATTATTTTAATGCTCTTACAAGTTTCACCGCACTACGTAAAATAACTTTTTATATAATATTGTAGGTATAGACCGTGTTCGGTCGGACGTGTAACATCGCTTAGGGCGATAAATATCGTACGTTGCCCGAATAAAAAGTGCTTACCACATTTTAATGTTTACGTGTTCACTCAAACTAAACCATTTAATCATATTTTTAAGATGCCTGAAAAATCTAACAGTAAGCAATTAACTGCTACATTATATAACTATTACTAATAATTGTATAACTCTTCCCAGGCATCAGAATGGAATAGAACCAGCACAATCGATGCGACATCATGTAAAGATTTAACAAGCTAATTAACGTTTTGAGTCTAAATTTCCGTGTTCATATTTTGATCATCAATAAATAATTTATCAAACAGCGTCATATGAATATTTATTTGAAACTCTTATAGGTATGTCACAAAAAAACATTCGATAAACGTAGACAGACCTACCTCACATTCACATTAAGTAATAGATATAGATTCCACTATCAATCAACGCATTAACAAGATTAACTTAAGTACCTCAATTTTTCGTGCAATTATTATTTAAAGAGAATGTGCGCTGTATCTATTGATATATATATACGCAACAACTCTTAATACAATTAATTTTTTAGCCCCAAATCGACTAAGAAGCAATGTTATTCGCAAAACCAATTTATTGTTCCCAAAATATATCTCGGTAAGTAGGATAGGAATTTCACATTTTCCAAGAAACGAAAGTTTTCACGACTTGGCTCATGTTCACCGGTGATTGGTAAACATATGTCGTACTATATACCTACATTTAAACTTACCTACCTTCTGAAAGTATTACAAATCGGGCAAACACCCAAAGAATTATTTGTTTATACCGTATCAAAAATTCATCGGTAGCATTATGATTCACCGCATCTACTTCTGAGGAATTCCCCTTGCTAATTAAACTGTACTTGAATAGTAACTTCAAAATACTACTGTTTGAATAAATGCGAATATAAATATGTACAATCTCAGTGTACAATAATATGCTACTTTGCATTTTTTTGTGTTTGTGTTATACAAAAACATTATTGCTTGCACGGAGAAAATAAATGTCTACAGTGAAGACGTAATAATAGTTTTCCATGTTCAATATTTAAAACCAAGCTTGATAAAAACTAAATACAAGCAAACTTGAATATAAAGTGATTTTTTGCGTAAAGAGAATCAATATTTTAATATTTATCTATATTTTAAATAAAGAATAATATCTATGAATTTCATCACTTTTATCAAGTGATCTTTTCATGTACGAATAATGATTAAAAAATCATTTATCAAATAAAGATGTAGGGGGAAGTTAAATCTGGCATTCGTCATAATATAAAACGCCCCTGTGAATGTTACTTCAACCTAATATCCCTTATCGTCAACCAATCCACTAGCATTGCCCGTCGCCTAGTCTCGTGAAGTGGTGCCAAGCGTATTAATTTCCCTGTAATTATTACGTGTTTTGGCGGCTGGGCCAAGGACACTATATGAGCATATATGTACTTTACTCATTTGCCGAATTGTGTGAAAAATTATATAACTAATATTTTATAACAACATTGGCCAGTAATTTTCCCAACCGCGTTGATTTCGTGTTTTATTACCTGTTCAAAGCATTGTACAGTATACATAATATATTTTCTTTAATGTGTTCTAAGATTAAGTTATCAGCTTGTTTATAAGATCCTATCTTGAGTTATTAACATAATTTATGTAAACAAAGATAAGTAAGTATTTTCCAGCAGACTGTTCTTTCACGAGTGGTTTTCAAGTGACAATATCTAATAATGCCAAGTTAAAAGAACCAAAAATAACTTTGCCCGCTTGACTAATTTGAGTACGATATTTTTATTGCACCTTAAAACGTAAGTAACAGATTATATACCATCACCTTGAAACAGTAGTTATAATTAAAGAATCTGGTAGTCAAAATAATTTGTTAAACGGAAACAAATTATAATACGTGTAGGTACAACGTGAAATTGAAAAATTCCAGTACCTAGCGACTTGGTATCCATATAATAGACTAGAGTACTTCGCGAAAGAAAGATGAGAATGAACTAGGACATTGACAAAGATAAAGTGTATCTCTAGTTCACCTTCATACCTTATCTCTAGTATATCTGACTCACCTCATCTTTCTTATCACTCGTTTCCGTTAGTTCATTCATTCGTCTACCCGAAGGAAGCGAATTTATGACCATGATAATAGGGCACATTTATTCATTTTTGCAGAAATAAACTAGTGTGAGTTGAGTAGAATAGTTGAGTAAGTACAGTGAGAAACATAGGAATTTACCACAAAGAGTAAAAGTTTGTCAAACGATTCCTTCTTAACCCAAACAAAACGTGATTAAATTGAAACAGGTGCATAAAACGGTTTCGTGGATATTATGGGCTGATTTGAACAAGCGAGCTAGATAAAGTGCCGAGATAAAATGTTGAACTAGAGAAAATATTTAAGTAAATGATGTAGTGAACTAGATGAAAGATGTAGTTCATTGTACCGAAAAGATTCGTATCTTTCTTTTCATCACAGTGATCTATACTGCGCAAGCCTAATCCACAACTGCACTTACCAAATAAGTAATAGATATACCTAAATTATTGAAATTGCGAATATCTACTTCTCCCTGTTACTCTGTTTATCCCTTG